TTACACCGAACTGCCGCCCCTTTTGGCCAACTTGCACCAGCAGCTCGCTGCATTTCTGCATATGAAGTATTATTTGCGCAAGTGGAATTAAACTTTCCGCGGAAAACTGCCCATTTTTTACCCGTTTTATTCATTTGGCCGGGCACATATTTCCTTAATTAAGCACGTGGCAAGTGGAAATGGTGCACTGCGAAAAAGACTTGCTCAAGACTTAAAAATATATATTTTGGTATGCAGCTACGCTAAACAATTTCATGAAACAAAATAGTTTTTGAGTGTGTTCTTTGTACCCCCTTTGTATCCGGTATGCATTGCAAATTCTTTGGCCGAAAAGCGTTGAAAATTTTGGCTAATGCCCGAAACGTGTTGGCCTCTGATGGTTTGGTAACGGAACGAAAAGAGAGTAGTTTGAAAGCGAAGGAACAAGAACGTTGTGAAAGGGTTGCCAACTGCCAAGTGGAGTGAAACAGATTTATTCGGCTTTAGCCAAGCCGAGATCTACAGAGCCAACTAACGAAGCACTCGGCCTTATTTTCACCTGCCGATTAGCTCGAGTTTTCCCCTCCCGTTCGTGGCGCTTGCAAATTAGTGTTAATTTATCAGGATTATTGCCTCGCAAATCAAGTTCGCTCAGACAACTGCCGAGAGGGAAAAAATAATTGGACGAGGATGGAGTTGGAGGAAACCTGACACAATGGAGGATGTTTTTAATAAAGCAAATTCGAGGCACTGAGCACTCGGAACTGTAACTAATGCTGACTTCTAGCCTGATATCGAACTGTCAAGCTGTCAATTCTCGTTAGCATTGGCTGCCATGTGTGATGTTGAAGTCCTGTGTGTATCCGCATCCACAGCAGGCGATGTGGGGCTCTGCTACTCGAAGTATCTGGCAGATAGCGCTGGCAGAGCTGTTCAAAAATTCAATTTCCAGCTGAAAAGATACAAATGCCAGCCAGCGGGTGCAGACGGCAGGGGTGGCTACAAATTGGAAATAGGTAGAAAAAAGGCATTTAGTAACGATTGCTGACATGAGTCTCTCTGGGCTCAAGGCTTAGGCGATACGAGAAGATACGCCTGAAAAATGTGAAAGCTCTCTCTCTTCGGGGAGAAATGCGCAAATACTGACAGCACAATTAAGGTTTTAATTGGCAAAACTAACTTGCTCCTTCCGTTTGCACTTTTCTTTCAGCCAAAAATTGCAAGAAAAGAGCCAGAAAACAGGCGAAGCCCAATCCATTCACCATGCCCCAAACGGAGGACTAACGGACAACTGCGATAACTGCAATAAGCGAGGAGGAGCGTCAAAGGATTGCAGCTTTGCCCCTTCAGCCGGAAAACTCCCTCAATCCCCCACCCGGAAAACGCAAGGAAAATGCCATCCGTAGCCAACAGCAACTACAGCAACGATGCGCGTCTCAGTTACGTTGTAAATCAAGTTGCATCCGTATCTGTGTCCATATCCGCATCCGCATCCGCATCCGCCCTGCCCTCCGTATCCGCATCCGCATTTCCCACCTTCAGTCCACCGCGAATCGCCAGTCTGGTGGCCAGCAGCTCCGCGGAGGACTTGAGCAGCTTTGGTGACGTGACGTTCGACATCTTCGATGACGATGACGACCTGTTCGGCTCGCCCATGGCCTTCGATGCCAGCGAACAGGGCCTCTGGAACGGACGCTTCGTACCGCCGCCGCCCCGCCCGCCCTTCTTCGTCGACGAGCCGGTGCTGAGCGACGGCCTGACCACGTGTGATCTGTGCTCCTGGGCGATGCCCACCAAGAGCACCTTCATGTTCGAGGGCACGATAGGTGAGTGCATATCGGGATGCACTGGGCAAATCGAGGGTATATGATAATAGCTTCGTACTGGAAAGAAAAGATACATATACTTGTGTTTTGCATCTATCTTTGGGTATCTATATCTATATCTCATTTTTCTTAGTGCAAAAATGAAAGCTGAGGGCCACATAACTTCCGTTACTAACCGTTACCCTTTCGGCCATCTCTCCCTTTTTTCTGTTGCAGAAAAGGCCACGGAACTGGGCTGGCCACTGACTCTGATCATCGTGTCCGTGTTGTCGGCGCTGCTAGGCGCCATCATCATGATTGCCGTGGTGCGCTGCCGGCGCAAAAAGTCGTCCAACAATCGCAACGGTGAGTGCTAATACTCCACATAGCCACATGGCCAAGTTGGCCGAAAAAGAAACAGTGGGCGTAGGCCAAGCACGGTGGGCACAGTGGCTACTAATTCAGCACTGCACATAAAACATTTTAAAAATCCTTTAAAAAATCGTTTCATACATATAGCCAAATAAAATGTTTGAAACCTTAAAATGTATACGATTTTAGTATTTTGCAACCCTTTCATGCTGAATGCCACCACTGTGCCCGCCGTTGGCCATTATGAGGCCTTTACCGGTGTTGACTCTCACAACATTCGGCGACTGTTTTCGCAACTGCGACCCAGCAACTAACCCCCTCTTCCCCTATTTTTCGGCACCCATCTCGTGTTTGTTATTGTGTGGCATCTGCATCGGTTTCTGCAACACGCAGACACGCACGTGCAATGGTGGTCTCGCAACAAGCGCGCCCACGGCAACGGCTTGAGTGGTGCGGGCGGGGCAAGTGGAGCGGCGGGTGGTGCCGGCGGCAACGTGCACCACCACAACGGCAGCAGCAGCAACATAAACAACAACCACCTGAGGAGGAGCAACATCTACACGGCCCACCCGGCGGACAGCATACGAGGTCTGCAGCCGCTGCCGGTGGTGATGCCGTTGCCACTGCCATTGCCCCACCCACCTTCTGGTGGTGCCTCACCAGCGTCATCGTCGACCACACCGCCAGCCACACAGCACCAGCAGCAGCAGCAGCAGCAGCAGCATCAGCCGTTGCAACAGCAGCAGTACTTCCACCCATACCAGCAGCAACAGCTCGTGCACCACTCGCATACGCACCACCACCACACGCACCACCATGTGCCGCTGTATCCACACGACTGTGACGAGGACGCCGCCTACGAGGAGCCGGAGTACCACCAGCCACAGCAGCTGCACTCGGTGAACAGCAGTAGTTCGCTGTCCTCGATGGGATCCTCATCACTGCCGCAGGAGTCAAGCAGTTCCCGGGCCACCCACTGGCCACCGGGTGCCACGTCAGCCACCATGGTCATAGCCAGCTGAGAAACGGGCCAGGACTGCGCCTGGATTTGGCAGCAGTAGTGTGGATGGGTCTGCGGACCCATTTCACTTAAGATGCAGCGCACATGGATGGGTGCAGATCATAAAGGGGATTACACGTAACCATTTTGTGAAGTTTATTTTTGCCAGTTCATCCAGGGACTACTCCCTAAATGTGTCTGTCGTTCGGTCCGCCTGTGTGTCGCCAATTGGGAAAACCGAAACGAATTTAGTGTCACTTCCGTTTCCGTTTCGCAAACTATCGAGTCAGACGAGTCAGGCGAGAGGGTTGCGGTGTGGCACGGCCACAGGACATGCTCTTTACATGCCATGCACGTTTCATCCTTTATTGCCGCTCGGCATTAGAACAGGGATTTTCTCGGATTAAAGCAAATAAAGGGCGTGCTTTCTGTTTGCACCCAACTGGCAACTGCCAACTGGCAACTGGCAACTGCCGATGATGCCACAAGTTTAAATCGGAACACCCAACATTGCTTCGGGTATATCGAACTGAGCCCCCAGGGATATATCAGCCATTTCAATGGGTATGCCTCAGTTGAGATTGGCATACCAGCAGCATTTGCTTTTTAAACCACTTGGATTTTGTTTAAATAGACATTTTCCGCTTAAGCCTTGTGGGCAAATGTATGCGAAGCATATTCTGGGACCTGTCCCGGGCAGACATTGGTCCAAAACTTTGTGGCTTTTCACTCCATTCCGCTCTTGTTTCGCAGTGACGAGAGCAAATGGGTTTTGGAACTGGAAAAAAATCAAGAAACAAATAACGATGAGGCGAAAATTGAGGAGAAAGTGGGAATAAGAAGTCGCAATATCATCCGCAGAATCATTAATCAAATTATGAGCTCAAGCATCTAATAGCATTTGCATTTTTAATAGCCACTCGTGGTAATAACAAACCCATGACAAGCATATCAAACGTAAGCTCAACAAGCCAACAGCCAACACAAGTACTTAAAACAATCAAACATTGCAGCAACTTAAATGTAAATGCAAACGTAAACAAAAACTCGCGCCATTGTATATTAATTGTAAATATTTTTTGCGATCCGCTCCAATTAGCAATTAACAGCAGGAGCGTGCAACAGAAAGTTTCTTCAACAACATCATATTGCATACTTCAATTCAATACGATAGAGAAAGAGTACGAAAGCAAACAAAACATTCCTCTTCAAAGCAAACGCAAAGTTCAAGTTTTCATTTAACAATTATAATTTACGACAACACTCAACCAAAGACTAGTCATTTAAGTCACAAGGTCGATATGTACAAACAAGTTAAACGAGAGATAAAATATGATTAAGCCAGTTAATTAATTCGATTTACGGATGCTGCATTCGAAGCTCGAATGCATTCGATTCGCATTTATTAGTTTTACGAGATGAAAGAACAACTGCAATAATGTATTTTAAATATTTATTCATTAAACGCACTTTTGTCCACTCCCCTTCTATCCCACACAATAACAATAATCGTAATTAGCATTTATAATTAAAAACTCAAACATCAAGTAAATAATAAATAATGAAAACGAAAGACGAGCGGAATATGCGCAAAAAATTACTACGAGCAACTCAAAATGTTCCATTGTTTAGATTAGCCAACTAATTACATGGAAATGTAAACAAATCAAATACTTCATAGTTTTCATAACAAATTCATTAAATTGTGCAGAAATAATTTAGGCACACAAAATACGAAAAGAAAATAAAAACCAACAAATTAAACAACATCGTATTGTGTTTCAATCTATTTGTTTCGCTATACCGCCGACCACGCCTAATTTTCAGCAGAGTATCCGATGAACCTCGACATCAACTGATAAGCTACTGACTAATATTAATTAGCGCTAAAGTTCCTGCCTATCGAAGGGACTGTGGGCTTATACCAAAGGACTACAGGGTCAAAATGCCAGAACTGCGTCTGCCAGCCGCCGATATAGGATTCAGTCTAAGGTCTTTAGCAAAAATGTCAGGATTCCATAGCATTGGTTAAGTATCTGAAAAGTCAATATATAAGAAATTACAGTGTATCATATGATTTTAAAACCTTACAGCGCTGTAGTTTATTAGATTAAAGGACGGAAAGGGGCTGGCTCTCATGATCAGAGGCTGCTGGCCACGCCTGATTATTAGGCAGAGGTCCCTGTAAACTTCTCTGGATCCTCTGCTGGGATCGTAAGCCTCATAAGCCGCCTCCGAAATTTTCAACGACTTCTGCGATAACATGTCCCCAAAATACGACCACATGGACAGATGCCCCAGTGCGAGCAGCATGAGGATGGCGAACTGGGCCACCACTTTGGGATCCTTGCGGGCCTCCATGGCCTCCAAAACCGATAGGGACACCAAGGAAAAGTTAACCCCCATTTGCATTATGAGTGTTCCATGAAAAACGTTGTTAGTGCGATCTAAAATTCTGAAAAAATGAGGGAAGATTTATTCAAAATTACTTTTATCGTGACGAGGCTTACTCAACAATCTTCTGGTGAAACTTGACCAAGCGATTCGTCTCCAATCGCAACTGCTCATATCCGTGGCACCTCCGATGAAGGTGGCGCAGTTCGAGGCACAAAACCTCGATGGCAAATGTTAATTCCAGGTAAATACTCACAGATAGGCCCTCAATGCACACAAGCCAAATCAGAAAATATGTGGCAGACCAGCTCTGGAATAAATAGATGATGGCATGGCTGGTGGGGTAAATAGACCTTTCGTGCCACTGGAAAGGAAAGGCCGCATGGAGGGGAAGGATCTGCTGATGGACCCACATCGGTGCTGTTATAAGTAGCAATAGAAAAATACACAGGAACGCCATCCACGATGAAGCTAGAAGAAATGCCAGCACGAGGTACCAGCGTTTACTGGTTCTATAATCCACTGCACCAGGACCTTTTTGGGCCCAAGGATGAAATGCCTCCACGGTTTCCACAACCCCGTCAAGTTCATCGCCATACCAATGAAAATAGTATAGTTTAAAAACAATAAAAAATACCTGAAAATAACCTCGATTCAATATATGAGGCGTTTCCTAGGATAAGACTTTTCGAACCCCTATAAGGAAGGCCAGATCCCGACCTACTTGAACCTTGTCCCCTAGCGATTCGGTAACGCCATAGCACATGGTTAAAAAACAAATGGACACTTGAATGGTGACCAAAAAGTGCCAAGTCGAGCGGAAGCACAGTTGACGTTCTTTTGAGGTCGTATATAAGAACATAGCTCTGCAAAATATTATTTGAATTGATGTAAACCAGGATTAATTGCATCTCACACTGACTTCATCTGCTCCCTCCAATAGTAAACCGCAGAGTGACGGCACTCCATTGTGGGATCTCTGAAATACTTCCAGCCGTCGATATAGAATTTGAGAAAACGATGCAAATTGCCACGAAAGTCCATTTCAAATCGAACTCTGTTTTGTGAGTGACTCTACAACGCAATGAGGCGCTTATTAAGTATTTCCAGATAAGTACACTGGAAAATAAAGGTTAAGTTTAAATCGTCACAATTGTTAGCTAAAGACATTAAAATATTTAGCGAATTATTCGAGTTAAATTCGAGATATAGACACACTATTTATTCTCATAATTTATATATTTTTCCTGTGTGGTAATAAGCAAAATTATGGCCACTTAATGCAATTATCAAGTGAGAAGTTAACATCTGCTTTGAATAAAGAATTTACTAAGGAATTTTTATATTAATACTTCTCATACCTTTAGAGCTTCCATTTCACTCTTGTTCCGTACTCACAAGGATAAATGGCTTCTGAAACTCGCAAATAATATGAATGTAATAATTGGAAAGAAAATTGATGAAGTCTCGAATATCATTCTCCAGTAACTAGACTTGCACTAAATATGTCAAACCGATGACAGAAATATTTTAACGAAAGCTTAAGAGTCCATAAGTTAAAAAGTGTCTGAAAAGATAGGAAACCAGTAAAGTATCCGTATCGCCTGACTCTATCAAATAGACCATTCTGTATAAACGAAAACCAAATTTCGGAAGCAAATGCAACAGATATTATTACAGTTTATTACAGTTTATGCAAGACCTTTAGCAAATTGAAATATTTTCCATGAATTAGTATTAAAGTTCATCCGTTTTCGGTTTTAGTCTAATGTCTTTAACAAAAATGTAAGAATTCCATAGCATTGGTTAAGTATCTGAAAAGCCCATATATAAGAAATTACAGTGTATCATATGATTTAAAAACCTTACAGCGCTGTAGTTTATTAGATTAAAGGAAGGAAAGGGGCTGGCTCTCATGATCAGAGGCTCCTGGCCACGCCTGATTATTAGGCAGAGGTCTCTGTAAACTTCCCTGGATCCTCTGGTGGGATCGTAAGCCTCGTAGGCCGCCTCCGAAATTTTCAACGACTTCTGCGATAACATGTCCCCAAAATACGACCACATGGACAGATGCCCCAAAGCGAGCAGCATGAGGATTGCGAACTGAGCCACCACTTTGGGATCCTTGCGGGCCTCCATGGCCTCTAGAACCGATAGGGACACCAAGGAAAAGTTTACCCCCATTTGCATTATGAGGGTTCCATGAAAAACGTTGTTGGTGCGATCTAAAATTCTATTCAGGTTAAGGGGAAAAAGATTGACTCCCAACTGTTTGTCCTAGTTCAAGTACTTACTGCATAATCTTCTGATGAAGCTTGACCAAGCGATTCATCTCCATTCTGAGCTCTGTAAGGCCAACCTTAAATCTGTGAAGTTGGCGAAGTTCCAGGCACAAAACTTCAATGGCAAAAGTTACTTCCGCATAAATACAAACAGATAGCCCCTCTATGCACAAAAGCCAAGTCAGAGCATACGCTGTAAAGTAGCTCTGAAACAGATAGATTATAACGTGGCCAATGGGGTGAAGCGATCGTTCGTGCCACTGGAAAGGAAAAGCCGCATGAAAGGGAAGGTTCTGGTCATGGACCCACATGGGTGACGTTAGGAGTAAGAATAGGAAAATACACAAGAAGAGCGACCACGACGAGGCCAAAAAGAAAGCCATTACGAAGTACCAACGTTTGCCAGTCCGATATTCTACGGCATTGGGACCTGTCTGCGCCCAAGGATGAAGTGCGTCCAGTTCACTGACCACCCGGTCAAGGTCGTCGCCATACCAGTAAAAATAACAAATCTTGAACATGATGAAAAATGCCTGCAAGTAGAAATATAGGTTATTTATGATTGAACCTTGTAACATTTGCTCACCCCAAGCATGAACGCCAAATCCCGTCCCATTTCAACATGATCCCCTATCGATTCCTTTAAGCCAGAGCACATGGAAGCAAAAAAGACCACAGCTTGAATATTTACTAAAATGTGCCATGTAGATCGGTAGGGCAGCTGGCGTTCTTCTGTGGTTGTATATAAGGCCATTGCCCTGCAAGAGACATTTATACAGTTCAGCTGAAAAGGTTAACTCTTCCTTCACACTTCATCTGCTCCCGCCAATAGTAAAGTGAGGAGTGGCTAGACTCCACCAGCGGATCTCGGTAAATCCGCCAGCCGACCTTAAAGAACTTGAGAAAACGATGGATACTGCCACGTAAGCCCATTTCCAAACACTGATTTTGAAGTGCTGGCATGGCTCAATATTGCACCTAAATACACTGTTTCGCAAATTATTAATTCCTTTGTGATAATTGGCTAAAATGTACCACCGATTATGGTAATTACTGGGCGAGAACCTAACATCTGCTTTCACATTTAAGCATAAGGATAGTTGCTGCATGTTTTCCGATAATTGAACTGATAACTTTCAACTGAACATCAATAATCGAGCAGTATGTAAAAATGAAAAGCGATTTCATTTCGATTTCGGCGGAGATCTGCCAAATGCGAAAAAGTGAAAGTTGGCATTGTTATAAAATCATTTTTTCCCCTTCACCACTCGCCACTGCGATGAAAGCAGCATCTGCGGAGCTGGAAATATTTAGGTTGCCCGGTCAAGAAGGAATATTTATGCCATTTATGACACGAAAGGCCCTCCGAACGTGCTGTCCGCAGATTGCAGCATTTTTGCATATTTGCGGCACGAAGCCGGCGAATCGAAATGAAATGCAAAAATCGTCTCGGAGCAGATAAAGCCCGGCTTAGACGAGGCGAGTTCAGTGGAGTGGAGTGTTTTGGACGGAGGGCGCAGCTCGGCGCAATCGAAAGCGAAGATTGGGGTCCGATATGAACATATGGTCATATGGATCGGAGCATTCGGTTCCCGGTCCTCAATCCGTGGGTGGCGGCGGGTGCATGGGGCATTTGCATATTGGAACTGCCTGGATTGAACTGCCCTCGGACAGCAGGCATTGTGTGTGTACAAGAGACCAACAAGATGGTCTGACAAAAGTGAGATCCGCGGGGCTTTCCTCGGAGGCATCGAAAATGTCATGCGGTTTTATGACTTCATTAGCGACAGCCACCAGAAGCCACAAGGAATTTAATGGACCCGCTCCGCCTGGCTTGACAAACAAATTTGAGGGACATTTTCGTGCCCTGATGAGAGGGAAATGAGCCGTGGCATCGGGGAAAACTAATCAGAGGAGCTCTGCTCCTTCGACCAGACTAGCTCCAATCTGGCGGCCATGTCACGAGTCCATGGCAACGATTCAGCGGCAATGATGATGTGCATATGGGGCTGCCTAATAATGAAGTCGTGCATGGCATTTGTCCTGCTCGGTTCGACTTCGATGATTAAGTGGCCCGGCCACCGAATCCGGACCAACTCTCTGACACCTTTTCGCTGTTATTTTGTTTTTTGTTTCTTGGCGGGAATTGGCGCATGTCAGCAAATTGGGTGTACAAAAAGCGGCCTAAGAAGCGGGCCTGTTAACTGGGTCGGTTATTGTCGTCGATTTACAATGTCACACGATTTTGGCCACTCGATTATGATCTTAGTTTCGCTCGGCAGCAGTGGAAATAAAGCTTGCCAGGGTAATTAAGATGTAGTTCTGGCTGGAATATCATATTGTCTAGTTCGGCATAAAAAGGATGATTTCGCCTTGGTAATCCTACAATTATGCATTGTTGAAGGATGTAGGCCAACTACACCCATAGCTTATGTTTTGAGAACCTCTTGAGCATGCTTTTCCCAAGTGTACTTGACTCCCTTTGAACCCATTTAAATCCTGCGTCGTAACTCAGATTCGTACTTCTGCGTGGCTGAAGTGCGTCTCAGAAGTTTCACTTTGAGGCGCTTGGGCCCTCAATAACAAACTTTTCCGCGGCCCCTCGACAAGCCCCACAATGAGCGATATTGTGGGGAGATAATAAACCATACAAATAACTGAGCTGGTCCCGAAGCTCCCACTGACATCCCTGACTTCTGACGACGATAATGTCGTCGTCTTGGCCCGGCTCGTTGAATGTCGACAGGCGAATCATCAGCCTATCGACGGTGCACTTTTGCCTTCTAAAGTGCACCTCGTGGCGTGCCCCACTTCCCTGGCCGCCGGTTCCCGGCAAATCTAACCAGCTCCTAAGCCGCGCCGCATGCATCATCATTATCATCAACGTAGCCAGCTGCATGCAAGCGAAAATCCAACTACTGCGCATGAATGAATCACGTCGCAGTCCAGGTCCACCAAGATCGCTGTTCGGATGCAAAACTGGCAACAGTTGCTTCGCAACTGCATCCCATGCCAATCGTCTAGCGAAAGTCGCGACGAAACTCTCTCAATCCCCCAGCTCCGGCGCATTCCCGATCCCCCAATCCCCCGTGCCTGTTTCCCCTGTTTTCAGCTCCATCGATGCAGTCGGTCCTGTGCAGCCATAATGATGAATTAGGCTGCTGTCATGTCATGACAAAGGCGCTGCATGCAATTTAGATGGAAAATGGCCAGGAAGTGGGATCTTCAGGGGCGCAGGGGAAGCCGGAGCAGTTGTCTAAGTAAATAAACACAAGCCAAATGCAATTGCAATAGCGAATATTCAAATGTACGTAGGAAGTGGGTTTTAAATGAGCCACAACGAGAAATAGAAACCGCAGTCTGACAAATCGCTGGCTGTTCACTTTGTCGCCGAACTGTGGGGTCTGTTTCGTTAAACTAACAAAAAAAATATACCACTCTTATGCGCAGTTTATTGGAACCTAAATATTTTGAACAGAATGCACATTTCAGCTAGGAAAGATCATATAGTGGTCGCCCACTGTCTTACTGTGCCCCCAAAATCCAGGCTAAGTCGGTGAGCTTTTCACTTTTCGTGGCCCAAACTAACAGGTTTCTGCTCGTGCACATGCAAATGCGAGTATTGCTTATTGGCCTAATCCGTTGGCGTTTGCTAATTAATTTGGGCTCCCTGTCGTTGGCAATTAGTGCGGCCCAGGAAGATGACATGTTATGCCATGTTGTCGTGGCAAATGAAGTTATTCGCCTCGTCCATGCTGCAGAATGTCAGGATCGTAGCCCCACAGACCCCAGATGCTTGGCCCCATCGCTGCGAAGGTTAATTGCCAACAATAAGATTCAATCAAGCTAATGACGGAGCAGTCAAACGCCAGCGACCAACAGCCAACATCCAGCGGTCTGAAAGAAAACCAGCTTCCAGTTTCCAGCGCTCCCCACACAATTGCAATTTATGAGCCCAATCTACGGACGGTTGGGAACAGTCTTGCAAGTTGCAACGGTTGCAGTGGCGACCTTTTGGGGTTGCATGCATAAAATGCAGGCTCCTTGCAGAACTTTCTTTAAGTGGCCCCGAAACGGTCGATTTTTGAGACTGATTTAATAAAGCCTTAAGTGTATTAATGTGCCAACTATGTTTCTGTTGATAATGATCAGAGGATGTTAAGAGAGATTAAATTGGGAATAAAAGACAGTAAATCTACTCCAACGTGTTGGCCAAAACTGTCAGAATTGAATAGCACTGCTTTAGAATCTGCAAAGGAAAATGATTAATCAAGTGCAGAGAACAGCGCAGAGTATTACTTACAAGCATGTAGTTCTCCAAATTAAAAGGTGGAAATGGAGCTGCGCTCATGACTAATGGCTTTTGAGCTCTCTGAATAAAAAAGCAAAATTGTCGGTGGATGGACTTGGATCCAACATTCGGGTCATAAGCCTCGTACACCGCCAAAGCCACTTGCTTCGATTCCTCCGAAAACATATCCCCGAATTTAGACCAGAACGAGAGGTGTCCCAGAGTCATTAGCATTATAACCATATACTCGGCGGCCACTTGGGGATCCTTTTTGGCAGCCAATACTTCGAAAAGTGACAATGAGACGAGCAGAAAGTTGATCAGCATTTGCATGATAAAGGCTCCATTGAAAATGTGGTTGCAGCGCTCTGTAAGTCTGTCAATAGAGAGATATATATAGTAACGTATAGATTCAGGCCAGATACCTACAGTATGATTTGCTGATGGAAGTTGATCATTCGACATAGCTCTCTGGATAGCATATCTTCGTCGCCCAGGCAAAGTTTCTGGAGATTTCTTAGTTCGATGCACAAAACCCTGAGCGCAGAAGTTAGCTCGAAGAATATGGACACACCCATATTCTCCGCAACACCAAGCCAAATCATGAAGTACAGCACATTGGTGCTTTGAGCTACATAGATAATGAAATGGGCAACCGGGTGCTTCGTGGGATCGTGAAGTTGAAAGGGCCAGGCAACGTGAAAGGGCAATATCTGCGATTCTATCCAGAAAGGTGTTGATATTTTTAGCAGAATGAAAAGTATTAGAATGGTAAACCAAGTAACGACCAAGGCCATAAACAATAGGAAGTGCAAACGCTTGGTTTCCTGCACTTCCCTGCTTCCAGGCCCTTTTACACTCCAATGGTAAATGTCCTCGAGGGCATCGATTATGGCATCCACTTCATCAGCATATTGGGCTAGGAACACCAGTCTGAAGCAAATAAATAAGGTCTGAGGGTATAAAATTATTCCGATATAAGGTTGTCAATGAAATCGTTCTCCTCGAACCGTTATTATGAAGACCAGATCTCGTCCCAGATTGACAATATCACCGACGGATTCACGGACTCCATAAAACAGGGATGCCATGGATGTAGCTAGTTGGATCAAGAGAAAATATTGCCAGGCCACAACCCTCGGCAGACGGCGCTCCTCAGAGTTTGTGTAAAAACCTAAGGCTCTGTAAAAAAACCTTTCTTATATGCAAACCCTATGGATTCATTAAATATCTTACTTCAGCTGGTCCCGCGTCCAGTAGGCGATGATGTGTCGGGAATTCGAGTGGGGAGCCTTGAAGACAGCCCAACTTTCGAAAAACGGTCCCCACAATCGATCCCAATTACCATTTTTGCGCTCACTCCGCAGCTCGGTCATCTTTCAATCCGATCCAATGCAAATAGTAGGTGTGCCTGATGACCTGAAACGGCGAACTGTTTTATACGCATACGAGGTGTGGAATTACTGAATAAATAACGAAGCAACTTATTGCTTATTGCTCATTATGGCCGAGAACTTTGCAGCTGCCACGGCCTGGGAAATGGGAAATGGGATATGGGAAATGGGATATGGAAAATGGGGAAACTCATATTTGCAACTGCAATTATGGGCGAATACCCGGCTATGACGTCCACTTAAAATCCAAGGAGCAGTCTTCGAGTGCCAGCCGATTATCCGAGAGCCTCTCGTTGCCACTCTGCCATTGTTGGCCCATTGTTGCTCGGATGCCGGTTTCGAATGCATGTTGCCACCAGTCTGAGGATTTCTAGCCTGGTCGGCATCGAAAGGCAAATTTGCACACTCGGCGCGGTTCTGCAACAATGTTTGCACTTTTCTTTCGTTATCGTGCGTTCTGCTGGCTTTTCCCCGCTCCATTTAAGGCAACCGAAATGCATTTTACAGTTTTACCTTTTGCAAATCTCTAACGGCCTGCCAAACGAACAAAATATTGCCTTGGCCAAATTTGGCAGCCCCAAAATCGAAGGTGGAGCGCTGATGCACTTAAAAAAATATCACGGGTCAAATAAGCTTTACTTTTCTTAAGTTCTGCTAAAACCTTGCCATAAGATACTTTTGCTTGAGTGTGGTACGTCTGTCCTGGACGACTTTTGACTTTTACTAGCGTATCTCGCTCCACATGAGGCTCACATCACCCACACGGCTGAAACTTATTACTCCGGATAGCATTTAGCGAGGACTTGCCGCCGCATATTTGGCTAGTGGCTGAGATGTGGAAACTGGACTTCGATGTGGCAGATACGCTGGAACTTGTCCGGCGAATGTCGTTCGCTTCATTAAGGCCACAAACAGCGAACATCAAACGGCAAACGACAAACGGCAAACGACAAACGTCGCAACAATCAGACAGACAGACAACTCTGCCAATTTCCATCAAAAGCAGTAGGTATCGGTAGGTTTTCGGCTAGACCAAACATAGATCGATTTTGGGCACTGACGGCGATGGAGCTTTCGCTTTGAGCAAAACTGCGGCTCAAGTACAGGTAGCACTACAATTTGCGCGCTTGTCAAGTGTACGACAACATTACGCGCAATTGTTCAATGTCAACGCATTTGATGAGCATGAAATGCCTTTGCCTTTGTGGATGGATTGCTCTTGTCAGGGAATCCGTTTCTGTTTCTGTTTCTGATTCAGAGACTCGGGTTCTGGCTCTTCTGCCAGTCTTGTCCGAATGCGCAGCTCCTGCCCCCCAAAGGCTGCCTATCCATCCATTGTCCCTGCCATCCAGAGAGTGCGGTCGTCACCAGGAGGCTGCAATTCCCATGTGCTGCCATGTTCTGTGTGATAACGAAGCCAGCTCCTCGACTGCTCCATTGTCGCTGGGCTGCTGTCCTGTGCCGCGATGTACTCCATGCCGTCCGCTGGCCATTCGTCCACTGGCCATGACAACGCTGACAATCAAAAATGCGCCGTATGAACTCAATTAAGGTTGCTCCTAGGGAGACCAGGTGGGCTGCACTGGCTCTTTGAAGTACGATCTGCGCCACAATGGCAGGTCAGAATGATTCCAGCAGGTAATTTTGAGGCTTTTTCTAAAATAACCAGTCTCAGGTATACATAACAACTTTGACTTGACTATTATAACGAATTTCTATTACCCATGCTGCTGTGAAATCCAAATAAAATTAGCCTTAAGATGCCTCTTGATGGGCTCGAGTCGGTTATCAAATTTCACAACTACCTATTTGGATTTCGCCCATATCTTGTGTAATCCATAAATACTCGCCGGCAGCTGCAACGCCCAAATAATGCCAGCATCAAATTTGAAAGGCCAACTTTTATTACGATTGATAATAGATCCAGTGGGGAAAGAGATTGCTCGGCGCAGAGTTTCAAGTGATTTTTCGTTTAACAAATGCATCAAAATGCTGAATCTAAAGCACTTTTATGTCGTATAATTAATCACAATTACATATTTCTATGCTCCGAGTAAATGGCCTGGACAATGGCCAACAAAGCGAAACGGCCTTAACTGCGTGGCGCCACGGGGGTTCCCGATATCGCGGGTTGCGCGGCGAGTTGGACAAGCGGCGCACTAAAATTTTATGACTCTATTATGAGAGTGGCGGTCAAGTTCTGCAGCAGCTCCGGCGACTTCTCCCGCCTTTCGCTCCTCCTGATTTCCAGCTCCATTGTGGGGGCCTCTAGAACAATAGGTTCCAGAGGTGCCCTGCTCCTCCTGACCCTCGTCGCACTCTCTCCGGTGCTGTTTGCATTTACTCCCAAGTGGATGCCACAGATTTCAGCACTCAGATTATGCAACACACACACAAACACACGCGGCGTAATTTATAACTGAGCTAAAATAGCCGAGGAAAAACCTTAGAGGCAGCAAAAAATTAAGAACCAGAGAAAAACTAGCAAAATATACAAAAAATAAAAAAATATAATGCACACAAATTTGCGTCGCCCCGCGGCCTTAGAAAAACTGCGAGCCTCTTCGTAAAGTGTTCCTACACTGCGAAAGATTGGCTAGTAGGTCTCAAAAAATATAATAGCTTATAATACCAAGCTTATAATACCACTATTTCTTATGAGCCGAATTGTTCTTTCACAATTGACAGTATTAAATGGTTTAAATAATTCTAAAAAATTAACTTTGTTAAAAATGTTTGAGCATGTATGAAATGCGTTCGTTCCTTGTTGAATCTGCTTATTACCAGTAATTCAATGAACTAAATTCTAGCAAATATCATTTTTACAGTATGAACAGTATGACCCCGGCACATGTGGAGGTGCCACCTTCCAGCCATGTGTCTCCCGCTGCCACGCCCCCAGCCCCCAGCCCCCGGCAGCAGCTTCATTCGCCGCTGTTGTCGTCGCGCTACAATAAACTGCATTCCTGGGATATTAATCACAGCAGCACTCGACTGCACTCGACCACTAGCGCAGTACTCCACTGCATTTTGCGCACTCGACGCTTATGAATAACTCCTGACTGCAGGCGACTTGAAGCCGGCTTAGAGTTCGAGCCGGGCTAATGAAAGTTATGCGGACACATCTGTGGCCACAGTGCTCGGCAAATATTGGCCAGATACTACGTTTGTCACTGGTGTTTTGGGGGCCAGGACATCGGCGCGCCATCACAACATAATCCACTCGAGCGCTGAATATTTATTAGCCATATGCGATGTACGAGAGTATTTGGCTTCGATTGGGCCCGTTCATGTGCAAACCGCTAAGCAAATGCAGCTCGCGTTCGATCGATTGATAGTGGCATCGGACCGGCAACAGCGGCCAACAACACCTAGCCGACGGGCTCATGCCACTGCAACAATGCAACAGTGCAACGCTGCAACACTGCAACACTGCAACAGTGCAACAACACAACGGGCGAGACATGCAAACCAAGGATAGGTCCCGAACCCGCTGCCCATGCACAGGGAAAAGCACAGTACATGAATATTAGCCAATGCGATTTAGATTATATATTTCAGATTAACTTACTTTTCAGCCCGAATAATGCGTTTCAAATCGATTCCTACAAACTTGGGCCCCAAAATCCCCATTGCCTCGTATAATAAATCCCACGATTTAAACACTCTTATCAATATGCATAGAATTAATTATGTTATAAAAACCAAAGTAGTAGTTCATTTGAGTTTTAAACTAGTATGCACCAATTGTGGCTGAAACGTATTAGCTGTTTTAAACTCGTCTCAAAAATGTAAAATTTTTTTTGGTATGAGGTAGACTTTTTCCCCCAGTGTGGGAGTGTGCTCCCAGCTCCATCCAGTCCCACCGCCGAAACACAATTAATATTTATGACCTTGCCCGCCTGATATATTTGCCTGGGCGCACACACGTAAATGCTGCGATTTATCATACGGTCGCGCTCGCAGTTCGCTGGGCTGGGGAATCGGGGGATGGGGGTGGTAGTGTGGTTGATATGGCCGCAAGGATAATAGAACTGTTAACATGGGAATAAAATTTCGAATAAAATGCAATAGATTTCATCTAAATGGCTCGCCATGGCCGAGCGCTTCGCACTAGACAAATGCAAATTGAGAGTCGTTGGGAAAATTTCCATGAAATTGCCCTTTTTGATATTTAATTAATTCAAACGTCACTAATTAGCTGCCAAAAAAAACGCAGCCATGTCAAAACCAAGCCAACCTGCCGCTCTGCCTCGGATGTCCCCTGCGCGACCTCACCTGTGCCCACCTGAACCCGCTCCCCCAAAAGCAAAGGGCAGCCTCACCTGGGGGCAGGTAATTAAGTCAACTCCCGCTGGAGAAACAGCAGCGGCAGCCACCACCAAAACAGCCAGAACTCATCGGTCGATGGGGGTTCGAGGCGATGGTACCCTTTAGGTCAACTGGGAACGTACTCACCATACATTTTAAACTGTATTAATTATGAATTTTAGGTAGGAGGTCAAAATGTATCTCTCTGTTCATTAATTGAAATAAAATGTATGGCAGAAAAAGCTATAATATCACATTCCGAAATTAGGGAACATGTTTCACAATTTTCCCGCATACTTGATAGCGACCAGTGCACACCCCAAGTTTCCCTTGATACCCTATATGTAACCACCTCGCCTGCTTTTCTTCGCAAGTGCATGCATATTTTAGCATGAAAATATTCATAATTAAAGTGCGTGAGTCTCGGGGCCGCTCTTCTGGTGGTTGCTGTGTGTGTATTATTGTAATGGCATAATTAATTTATTAATTAGTTTTGTTTTCGTTTGCCAGTGCTTTGCTCCCGCTTTCTCGCTCCTTTAAGCCAAAAACCAAAAGCCAGCTCAAGCGTGAGCCTCTCCGCGGGAGGCGTTGTAAGAACTCGGTAACTTGGCTCTGGCAAACATATAAGGCGCGTAATTGGAGCTGCCCACGCACAGGGCCCATTGTCAGGGAGCTCAGGGCCAGGAAAACTGATG